CGTTCGAATATGGAAAATTGACAGAAATTAAAAGACGTGAATCCATGTACACTTGTAATTTTCCTTTCTCGAAACGAAAGTTTAGGTTCTTGAACGTTTCTCTATAGAAATGAACTATTAAGGCATTTGAAATGTTGAGTGCAAAGGGTTAATTGTTAAATCTTAACACTAAAACTACCGAGCAGTTAAATTGAATTTTCGAAATTTCTCTATAGAAACTCCGAGAGTACATCTATCGAGACTTTAACTGATTTATTCAGTTTTCGTATTGCTAAATCAATTTCTTCAATCATTTTCCAGAGAAACATCTGTTACCTTTTTAGTAATTGCAAAAAGACATCTAGAATGGGTCATTTTGACCTATCTGGTAGTTTTAATCTTAATCACTATGGACGTCTAAACTAAAGGTTTCACGTTTGCCGCGATGATTTCATTTAACACGTTGACAGCCACGAAAAGCTTCAGCATCTTGTGTCATTGTTTCGTTTTATTTTTATTTATTTTATCTGAATTAGTCTCAAAGAACATCGTCTTCGTCATTCATCATCTTCTTCGCAAAGAAACGGTGAACATTTCTATTAAGAAACGTCCGAGTGCAAAGGGTTAAGATTCTCACCGCGAGTGATTTGCATTCGCGGCTGCGAACGATCCGTTTTACTTAATACCTTCTCGCGCGTGAAAGCATCGGTCCCGTCGCCGCAGATAAGAACAATGGGATTGTTGGCACGCGTCACGGGAGAAACGTTTCTCTTTCATTGAGCCGGCCAATAGGCGCCGACGCGGGACGTTACGGGCACGTACGGGGCCCGATCACGTATGGAACGACGGTCGCGTGCACACACGGCTCGACGGACATGTCGCGACGTCGGACGTGAGGTCAACAACAGGCCGGTTGCACGAGACGCGTCGCGCGGATGTATCGCGCCGGTTAGCCCGTCCACCGGCCGCGTATCGGCGGCAAGGATCATTCGCGCGCGGAGGATCGGTAGATTCCTGCCGCTCGTAACCGGCGCGATTACGGCCGGAGCGGCGAGAATCATCCGTGGCACGGATGCTCGAGCGCGGAACGCGGTCCGCTCGTACGCGTGTCGCAATCGGATCGGCGTAATTGCTTATTAATCCTCTCTCTCGACATCGCTGGCCGATAAACACCGCCGGGAAAAAAGTTAATCGAGCCGATGCACGCGAGCCTCGCTCATTCCGATCGTTCCCCGCGTAACGATCGTACTCATCGTCGTCGCTACGGTGAATGTTCAATTAGACCGGACTCGATCGCTGAACGGAACCCATTCCGGAGCGGTTGTTGTCTCCGGCTCGCGAAAACTTTCGACGGGAACGAACTTGGGCAATTCGTTTGCCGATTGTCCCGCGGTGAATACATCGATCGACGCCGTCGACTCGGACGTAACCGTTGTCGCTTCGAGCGGATCGTTTCTAATTGGCCAACATCTGGAAATTCGTCGGCAGTACCTTTCACGGGGACCGACTTCCTGTCGCGGCTTCTGAGAAATCTGTGTTTAACCGTTCGAGAGTCAAGCAGCGCGATCGCGATTCGCCGTTACACTGAAAGTGTCGCTGGATCGGTAGGATCAAATGAAATTTGTTTTCCAATGATTTATTTTTATCTTTGTTACTGCGCGCTTAGAAATGGAGAAATCGATTGCGTTATTTACAATTTTTCAATGTAAAAATAGGAAAGCGTTGTTCAACAAAGGCGAATTTGAAGACAAATATTGATAGTTCAGTAAGATGAAGTTCTCACGTTTAGAATACTAAGTCCCAAACAAACGATTTAGTTATTCAATACAAGAGATCGGTAGTCCCTTCTATTATTTAACCTCTTGCGCTGGAAAGACGTGCTACGTCGAGACGCTTCTGTTCCAAAATGGTCAACGATGTCTTTTACACATTGATAATCTTGTTGCATTACATATTAGATTGTTTCAAAATGTATCACTCCATACAAAATGATTAACAAACGAAATTAATGTCCGCGTAAAATAGGTACAAAACAAAATTCATCGCGCGAGACCTTCTAAATTTATTTCCAGCGCGAGTGGTTAAGCGATCGGTATAGAATTTCGTCTGCTTTAGGTCTTATCTGTCTCAAAGAATCACGATCCGCAGTGTCGAAGACAATCAGCTTATCGTGTATCGTTTAGAACACTAATAACCGGTTGCACCATTTTATTTGGTAGTCTACCTAGCCATTCCCAAGCGTCAACCGTCCAAACGTGAAAAGAAAACAAAAACGATTCCAGCGGTAATGAAGTACTTTCCATTTTATCGCGCGATGCAAAACGAACGAGCGTTTTCATTCGCGCACGGTCAAAGGAGCCGGAATATAAATAACGAGGACCGTAGTATTTAGCTCGGGCGCGCGTTGCTGGCCGCGATCATTATCAACATGTGTTCGCCGTTGCCCTCGCGAACTGGCGCAGTGTTCCATAACGATTTCCTTATTCGCGCCCGGCCCGGCGGCCGTTGTTCCTTTTTTCTCCCTCCGTCCCCCGTTCTTTCTCCTTTTTCACCCCGTTCCCTCCTTCTCCCGGGAAATTATGCCGTAACCGAACCTGCGTAAGACGGACCCGTTACAATGTGCCCGTCCCGTAAAATGTTATTCAAATGTTCGCGGCGGGTCCCGCGAGGATTAACCGTCCGCGGCGGCGGCATCTCCGGGGGCAAGATGCTGCGGGGAACGGATGTTCAACGCTCGAGCGGTCTGACCGCCATTGTAACAGCGGTTACGGCACGATAACAGTTTCCCGGGGCAATAACGATTCCGGTATCAGCCTGACGGGACACGCGAGCATTATAAATGTTCTTGTTACCGCCGCCGCCGCCGGTCCGGGAATCCTGGAAAAATTCGTTACCGCGGATTACCGGGGCAGCGACGATAGGCGCATCCAACTTCCGCGTCCCTTGGCACCGCGAGCAACGGAGAACGCGAGCTGATAAGCACGTCGAAAATACCCTCGAAGAGAATTAACCGGAATCCAGAGATTTCGCGAAGTCCTGTCGCGAAGAATCTCGGTTTTATCTGTTTTACGCGGGTGTGTTCATTCATTTTGTTACTCGCTTATGCAGTTGTGACGGCAGCTTTTCTATTTTGCTTAGTGCTTTACGTGTTTTTATGTACAGTAAGACAGTTCACGGTTAGATCGTGTTTGGATGTTAGGCAATAGAGGTTTTAAGAACTTTTTGTTATGATTTAAAGGATATATTGAGAGGATACTGTAAAAGAATTAGCCTCATCTGCTCTTTATACATATTTCTTTAGAAATAAATAATAAATAATAATAAACGAACACGCCAATAGTGCGGTGTCTTTTGTAGTGTTCATCCATGCGAATGTGTCTTTATTTATTCTATTAACGAGATTTCCTTTAACACTTTGACTGCCAAGTAAATAACCATCAAAACTCCCGTGCAATCGAAATAGTTCTCTCAATAAAGCAAAAACTAAAGGGGCAAGATTCTTCGTAACGATTACATTACTACTCTCCTCATATCTCACACATTCAACGAAACTTAGTTCGTCCGTCACCAAGAAAATGAATAATCAAGCTTATGTTAAAAATGCTGTCACCCGTATTCGTGTGACGTGGCATTCGAAGCGTTAAACTCATCCTACCAAAGAAAAATTCCAAAAGCGATCTGCCCCAGAACTTTTGAACGCTGCTGTATACCGTAAACCTCCAAAACTCGTTACAGCGTTTAAGGCACGGGTCTTGGTCGATTTTGTACAATAACGTGAACGAAACCTGCAAGAATACAAACCTGACAATCCGGTTTCTGTCTATCATCATCGGTTAATTACTTCCGCAGAGTTCACCTTGAACTTCCGCTCGGGAAATTCCTGGACTACGCGTGTAATAAAATGGAAATGACTTCTTTAGATACCTCCAACGATCGAGGGGAGATTCGAAGACTGAAAATCGCCTCGAACGCAGAGGGAAACCCGTGCGCGCGCGGACGTTACCAATTAATTACCCGGGCGATATCTGGGCGTTGTTACTTTCAATGTCATTGCGTAAAGGATAGCGACTCCGAGTTCGCCGGCGATAACGGGTTCCCGTTTAGACTTCCAGTTCAAGGTAGACTCCTCGAATGCGGGTGTGCGTATCTCACGGCCGGCCGGCGCCGGTGTTCCGCTCTAGCCGCGACGATTCTCAAAAACTGCTGGTACTGCTAGCCGCACAGCTAGCTGCCGGCGTTGATCCCCCCAAGTTGAAACACCGTACACGTACGTTTTCATCGTGGTTGCGTAACACGTCACGATGAGTCCCGGCGATTCGTTCTACCCGCTATCGTCCTCGGATCTCCCGCAAGAACCTCCGTCTACGTGATTTCGCGCGAGTCTCTCCCACGTACTCCGCCGCGTTCCACGAAAAAAGGTCCTTCGAATCAAGAAACACCGGATTCAGCATCGAAAAGAATGGCGCCCCCGTAATATCGTCTTCCCGCGGTGAGATTTCTACCTCTCGTAACGTTTCCGTTTCGCACGGCTGAACGTTTTCGAAAGCGAAAATTCGAGTCAGCTTTTCGGAACGGACACCGTATCGACGCGCCGGCGGATCTTAATCGGCGAATATTACGGGAATCTGATGAATACAAATTGAACGATCCGTATCGAGCCAGGCTACAAGTTGATTCACGAGCGAACTCGATTACTGACGTTTCAATTGTAAGCGAAGTTTCCGAATCTAGATTAACCGTTTACGAAGATTCTTCGAAACATACAAAACCTTCAACGTATGAAGCTAAATTATATATCAATTGCTTAATTAATAGAAAGAAAGAACTACGTGCTGATCTCTTACCGTTCGACTGATTAGATCATTTTTCCACGACTTAGTCTTCCGAATCTGAACGTTTCGTCTCACCGAAATGCCGACATCCGTCCGCAAACGGTTAAAACTAGCGAATCTTTTATGTTTCTGATCTCGGAAGTCTCCGTTCACTGATTTGCGTGTTCTCACGTCGGAGGAGGGACTCACCGGATATATGATACGTCCTCCAACCGTAAGCGACGTTCAGCTCCTTCTTGCCGTGGAGCAGCCCGAAATGCACCCTGCCCGCGCTCTCCTGAGGATTCGGTGTTCTGAGAGGTCTCGCCTCGACCCAGTGTTGCGTCACGAGGGCGGCGCAAACGAGTCCTCCGCCTAGCAGCGATAGGAAGAAGGTAGCGAAGATGGTGCCCCTGCGGAACATGGACGTCATCCTTGGGTCGCGCGACGTCGGGCCAACCTTCGGATAGTTCGCGATCACTGGACAGAAGAGGAGGATTGTATCAGGCGTGCGCGACATCCGCATTCTCCTCGCGTTCGTTCGTGTCGTATGCTTCTAGCTGGTAGCTATGAAACTCCATTGCGACGCTCGACGATCGTCAAGGTGAACAGACTTCAATTTATCATGGGTGATTCGAATACGATGACTGCTCACCGAGCATCTCGCAAGATGAATAGGGAGCTGGGAATCTTTATTAAAGATGTTGACGTAGACTTTGGATTCTTAGGACAAAGTACCTAGAATCCTGCTAGAAAGCTTAGAGTTTGAAGTCTTCGCGATCGGAATTTCGAAGGTTTTCAAATTGAAATCGGTAAAACTTTGGACTTCTGAGAATCTATGGTTAGCGAAGTGATGATTGTTAAGGCTTCTGGATCTTCGGAATATTAGGGATCATCAGATTCTAGGGATGTTGGAGCTCGTGGAACGCTTTGTACCTCGTTAACCGATACTGCAGGGAATGAAACGTTCTCGAGAGAAATAGCTGGGAAACGTAACGCGAGGCATTACGCGCGGCAAACCCGAGCATCGAGGATAAAAGGTACGTATGATACGTGAAAAAATGTGGTCACGCGTGTTTCACTTCGGCTCGGAACGCGTGGACTCGTTAAGCACCTAGGAATCCCGTTTCTTTTCGCGTTAGAGCACGCGAACGGGTCCCGCGCCGATGCAAACGCGAGGCTGTTCGACGCGATCGGTGTTTTTCCTCGTCGGCCCCTCGAAATGACACCTCATATTTGGAGAATGTTCCTTTCTCCCGGCGGAGGTTTTCTCTTTTCAGCGATCCGGCGGGCGCGTCGCGCCGCGCCGCGCCACGCGCTTCGCCTCTATACACGGAGCACGGTGTGCTCTCCGCGCAGGCATCGGTAGGTCTACTTGACGACAGCAACTATTTAAATTATGCCACAGAAACTATGCCGCTTTCGCAACAATTATCCGGTCTGCTAGAAAAATCCACGGGCGTGAAAGCGTCTCGAAAGCGAACCGCTCGACATCTCGACAAACTTTTTTCCTTCGTTTTCCTTCTGTTTTTCCAGTCCCTTCGACACTTGGACACGAAAATTGGCAGCCTTGCCTGTTGGATCGAAGCTCGAATGATTTCATCAGAATATATTCTTTCATGATAACTAGATTCTTCGCTTCTGACAAAGAAAATTGGAAGATTCGATACTGGAAAGCGAAATAGTTCGAGCTGTTCGAGGACACTTCGATGAATGCAACGAAAATGAACTATAGAACCTATAGACTACTATAGACCTGCGACACTGAACACGGATGAAATTATCTAGGATCGCTGTAAATCTCACTATAAAATCATTGTAAACACGGTACGTACGCGTTCGTAAAGAAAACAGACACGAGTCGCTCAGAAGTGAATGCGGTTGAATGTTCCATTTGACTTTTCTAAATTTGAATGGAATAAATAATATTATAATATTCTTCTTAGTTATTCAAGAATTCACTCGTTTCTTCGTTGTCTCTAGAAAACCCTTCTTTTTATAGCTTCCGAATTGACTTCTAAGCGACTCATCGTTCAGCCTTTAATTGGAGGAACATTCCGATCGATTAAAAGGGAAAGGGATATTGAATTCGTATCCGATACACCGATCGTTCACGAAAATCGATGGTACGTACCTTGGCCCTGGCTCTCGACGAAGTGCACCTGGCTCAGGCTCCTCGAGAACTCGCCCTGCTTGACCTTCTGCGAGAAGTCCGCGTTGCCGAGCCTCTTGGAGAACTTGACGCGACAGTTGCTGCCGCGAGGAGGTTTGCCCGGCCTGAGCAGCGACGACGGCCTGGGTCTCCTCGCGAACGTGTACGGGATAGTGTAGGGTTGCGCTACGTAAAAGTAAATCGGCCGGTAGTCCTCATGGAGATGATGCTGCACGAACCCGCCGTTCGCCGGATAGCTGCTGTACACGCTCGGCGCCCCGTTGCTGTACGCGTACGAGCCGGTGTAATGGACGCCGTAGTGGTTCGCCGTTTTTCGTGACTTGCTTCCCACCGTTTTGAAAGATAAAAATGGGAGACTGGTCCCTCCCCTCGGCCGTTCTTGGCTTGAAACACACCGGAGCCTCGCCGGCTGCTCGGAATCCCCGATCGTCGAGACTGGAGACAAATTTTCTTCACTCTCGAAAAACAGCTGCGGATAGCTACCCTCTAACTCGCTGGTTTCTTCGGAACGACTTCGAAGTTGACTCAAACTTTTTGACTATCGAGTTCCTAACTTCCTCCGTAGATTCAATTAGCCGGTACTTCCGGGGAATCCCCGATCGTCGAGACTCGAGACGAATTTCCTCCTGAAAAATAGCCGGTGGATAGCTACCCTCTGATTCGACTGTCCCTTTGATACGATGCTGATTTAAGGGTTTTGATTGTCGAGTGTCTAACGTTCTCCGTAGATTCAAATACCTTTGAAGCTGTCGAATAGTTTCGAATGCTGCAGCGTCGATGGAACAATTCACACTGAACAGCCGAGGTACTCTTGAACGCGGGGCTTATATTGCACGCGGATCTGGAATTCGATCAGCAGCTCGAATCGCCCGAGTTCGCTATCAGCGTCCAGGGATTCCGGCGATTATCATAATCTATGCAACCCGGCAGCCTGTTCCCGACAAAGTGACGTAACAGATGCGCCGAACGGCGGCCACTTCTCGCCGCTCCTTTTCCCGAAAAATTTCAGCTCTGTTTCCTATTAGCTATGCGCTAGGTCGACGCGATTATGATTTACCGCGGTGAGTTCCCTTTCACCCGACCCCTCTCCCCTCGAACGATCTTTTTGCCGAAAACGAAAGCAGCGAGAAGCGTGTCCCGGTGATTCACCGGTTCTCCCACTGGCCTGGATCGTTCGCGGACCGCTTTGTCCCCGACGAAACGGCGGCCCGAGAGTCACTGTACCGAAACGATCGACTTCGATCGATAGAATCGCGGATCGAAGAATTCACGGAAAAGTCCGCGGATCGGTTCCCGCGAGGCGAGCTCGGTTTCTCCGCGAAAGAGGGTCCCCCTTTGCCGTGCTCTCCCGTCTAATCGTTAATTAGTCGTGGCTCGCGCGCGTGTCGGAAAGTTTTTCAGTCACCGGAGAGCGCGTTCGGTAGAGGGACAGCGTTTATTTGCATCCAAGAGCGACGGCAGCCCTCGTGTTTCTTTCGCGCTGTTTTGAATGAGAAAGGGGATCCTTTAGGGCGCAAGCTTTCCACTGTTTTTTTCATGAATATTCTTAACGTTAGCTGACCCGCGCCTTTGCGTCATGCGCTCTCGCCCATCCTCCGCCTCCTCGGCCGCCTCCCTCGCCGTTCACCGATCCCCCTCGCCCGTTCCACCGTTCCTTTTAATTACCGCTATCTCAGGGTAGCTCCTCGACCGCCCTCGCCTGCAAAAAGAAAGCACAGCCCTTGAGGAAATCCTCTCCTCTCCAATGAAAATTCGGTGCGTCGCGCTGCACCCCTCCCACCCCCGGGGCTAGTCCTCGGTGTAATGACCGCATCAATTAAACGTTTTCAGCGTTTAGCCGTAACGAATTATCCCGTGGGCCGGTCCTTTCAAGATTCGAGTGGCCGGGCAGCTTCGCGGGGGAAGAAGGACGATGGGGTGGGACGGGTATCGGCTCAGCGGAGCTTGAAACTAGGGGGCTGGCTGAACTTAGAGCGAGAGCCAGCGTACCGGTCGGTCCTCCCCGTTTCTTCGATTTGTAATAAACTGCAGAATCTGCGGCCGGCGAACAGCACACGTACACGCCGGAAATTGTGTCACGGCATGTATCCTCTTCCTCTTCCTCCTCCTCCGCCTCCACGCCTCCGCCGTCTCCTACACCGCCACCACCTCCTCCTCCTCCTCCTCCGGCCGTTCCTCTTTCACCCCGTTCGGTACGGCCTCCCTCGACCCGGTCGTCGCCGCTGGAAGTTATTGTGTCGGACGTCCCGAGATTTTGTGCCCGCGATGCACCGGGATTCTCCTAGAGCTGCGGCACCGCTCGGAGTCCAGATTCCTCGTCGGCTGCGGCGTCGCGGCGTGCACTTTTCTTCGTCCTCCCGGCGTTCCGCGTTTTGTCAACTGCGAACAATGCGCAGCACGTAAGTCGACCGCCGGCTACCGCGGCCCTCCACCCCCCGCCGCGGGAAACGGGATAGATCTAAGGACAATGGGCCGCGGCGACTGATACGGGAGGGAAAAAAAGCGGGGAAAGGTATTTTCCTCTCCTTCCTTTTTTCTCGCTCGTTCTCCTTCCCGTCCGGTTCCCCGGTTTTCGGTTCTGGGACGCGCGGCGTTTGAAGATTGAGCCGTGGCTTTTGTCTCCTTTGTTTTCCGGTGGAATCGTTTACAGGTGAAAGCTTCTTGTTAGGTTTCGCTGCTTTCGGCTCTCGCGATCGGGTTTCGGGGATTTTGTGCGAGCAGGAATGAAATTCTCGAGAGTTCCTCGGGGGGGTGGCGCGTGGGTGCAGCCGGAAGTTTGAGGGAGAAAAATACCCTGTGGCGAGGAAAATGGACTCCGTGTTATTGGACTTGTTCAAGGGTGTTCGGCGAGGACGAAGATTTCGGGTGTATTATTTAGAACTTGTCGTATTTCTTATTATCTGATCTCGAGGTTACGGGTTGGGGATTCTATTTCTCGGAATTCCCCCGGAAAATACAATGTTCGCTGGGGATGGGGAATATCAGAATTCTGTGTTTGTAATAAGAATCACAATGGAAGGGTTTTACATGATTAACATTAATATATTTCAACGAGCAAACGAGTCGCGCGCGAGAAAGCTGACCTTACTTGGAAAAATAGGAAATCCACGTGCCGATGTTAATCGATTCCCCTGCTTTCGCCCCTCCTCGAAGTTATTCGTCAATGTTTCCGAAATGAGTTCGCGTTGGTATTCATGAATAACGCGGTCGAGTAGCATTCTTGACGTAACTGGAACGGCAATTGCACCGTCGTAATATATTGCATTCACGCGTCCACGTGTTACGCGGCCGCCGTGCTTTTTATAAATCGCTTAAATTATTCCACGGTTACCGTGCGTTTCCATTTGCCCGTGGAATCGCACTGGCTCGGGCAATCGATCGGGGACCGTAGGGGCCCCATTCGCATCGTGATTTATCAAATCTCAACGCTGATCAGGGTTATTAGATTTATCGCGATCTTAATAGTCCAGCAGTGAGTGTGACAAAGATTTATCTAGCCGGACTTGAGGTTTTTATTTCAATTTAACCCTAATAAGACAAACTGCAGCCTAGAAGTCGGAATAATAAAAGCTCTGCTTATCTAAGATTTTCATTCGAATGTACTCCGAATGAGTTAAATTTTTATCTGACCGCAAGTTTTGTAAATCAATGTGCAAAAATTGGTTTGCATCCAAGTGGCATACAATTATAACAAATCGAACGCATGAAATTCACTAAATCTATCTCACGAGAAAGCTAGTAATTAAATATTACACGCGAATCGAACATTGCTCTTACAGGGCTGACGAAAACCGAGTCGAATCGACTGCCACGACAAAAGAACGCCTCGAATCAGTCTCAGAGCCATACAAACATTCAAAGCGATGGGAAAATCATGTTTTATTAAAGAAAGAAAGCAGGGACGAGAGATTTCCCCGAAGTTGTATAACTTTCACGTTTTATCGCGGCGAGTGGGTGTATTTTATTTCAACCTGTAGACCCGAGCCAGACCTGCGGCAAGACAGATTTTATGACGGAATCGGTACCGCGGTGAAACTCGATGTCGTACAACAATCCCACACGCGTCGCGACTGTCGTTCAAACGCTCGTGTTCGAAATTTACAGAACTCGTAACGTCCGAACGGCCGGACCCTTTAACAGACGATAAAAAGTCGAGGCAGCGGCGCTTTAAAAAGTAATAGTCGTGTAATCGGGGGACGGGGGGGAGAACAATCGTCGCCCCGCCTCGGGACGGGCGGGTTACGCGGGTACGCGGCCGATCGTCGATTTTCATAATCGGAACCTTGACGCCGAGGCATTCGGCGTCGGTACCAGTTATGTTAATGGCGAACGATAACGGTCGCTGATGGGATTTATCTCGGAACGGCGTACTATAAGTGATACCGTCTCCGATGAAATTAATTGGCACACGGGCGTTTCCCTTTCCATCGACGGGGAGCAAAAAGAAAATCGAAGAGGCACGCGAGTGCCACTAGATATACTCGACACTTGTAATACGTAATGTCCTTATCTCGATTAGTATATCCTCGATTGGAGTTCTCGTTTCACCGGTAGTTCAATCGGTGACGAAGTTAATTTCTCCGAGCGGGAGAGAGAGAACACGCTACGTTGAATATTCATTATGCAATCGCGCATCCTTCAATTAAACTAGAAAAATTGAGAAATCCAAATCACAGCTGAACCCGTGTAACGCGGGATTTACTCGGGATCGAATGGAATGCGCTTAGAATATTAATCGAAGCCGCCCGACCAGAATTCGAAAGGAAATTGAACTCTTCGGGAGCAAAGCCTAAGACCCGTTTAAACCTAAAGCCTTAATTCAAGGCTAAGACTCTTAAGTTAATCCAAGAATCCGAGTTCCGAGCTCTGATCTAAAGAACTACGCTTGGACTACGAGGATCTTGAACATGGTTGCTCGGCTCATCGATCGGAAGATAAGCTTCGGTCTCTAGGCCTAGATCTTGGACATGAATCTCCTCCAGAATCCAACAAGAGGAATTCGAATGTTCGTCTCGGATAATCGGCGGGTTCGGCTGGAATTCGACTTCGATTCGGAACAACTCCATAATTCCTAGACGCAGTGCATTACGAGCGAATTCGTTTAGCCACGTTTCACGGCCGCTCAGTAATCCTTTCTCCTAATTAACATTTACAAGGAAGAACTCCGAGCTCTCCGTTAAGACGAAGTTCGCTGCTCTCCCCCGGCTAATCCGAAAAACAACAACGACCGAAGGGGAAGGCGACCGATCGAAAGTCGCGCGTCGAGGGAACTCGATACCGAAAAAATGGCGGAGACGATGACCAGCGGCCGGCGCGATCCTGTTACGAATCTAGAAGGCAAGAGCGAGGAGCGAAGGCAGGAATGCGCGTAACCGTGGGGGAAACGGGATGACGGGGTCGAGCGGATGCCGTTAGATCGAGAGCCGCGCGGCGCGACTGTGCACGCATAACCGCGGGGCGTCATCGGTTCACCGAGAGGAAAGAGCCGTGGCGAACGGAAGGCGGAAAAATGGAGAAACTGGAGAGAGAGTCGCCGCCGATCCGAATCCCGGCCTGGCTCGTGCTAGATGGAACGCGTTCCGAAGGTAATTCTATTGTCACGCTGCCCGCATGCCCTGCATCCAGCGTCGACGTTTCGATCGTGGTCACGAGACAACACGGGGAAACAACGGATTCAGCGAAAAAAGAGGAATATAGCGGAACGGAGGGAAAAAACCTCCTAGATAGCATATTTATTGGACTTTTACAACCAAAATTGTACATGCTCATTCTTAGAGATTGTTTATGCAGAGAATAGACTGACTGCAAGAAGCAATGAGGAATAAAGCTTATCGGTCTATGATGTCTGAAGGATTCAAGTCTGTTAGGAATATGGGAGGTTGCTCCAAATTTGGTGATAGTGCTACTTTTTGAACGTTACGAAGCTATAGAATTCCAAACGGGTTGAAGAATGACATCGACAATGACTCGTAGGCTGAGTTTAGAGGGTACAGCTTTTTGGCAATGATACATTGACGCGACGACACGCGACTGAATTTCTGAGAGGAAACGAAGGGAATAACTCGATTTCGCTGACTCGTCTGCGAACTAACCTCGTAGCGAAGGAAGGGAACGCGTTTCGGAAAAAATCTCACCACCTCCGAATCGTAATTTGGACTCCATGAGGATCAGCGTCAAAGTTCTGCGCGTCGTTATTTATATACGGTGAACGTTACTCGAGTAGCTTTGACGCTAAAACTTTAGTCCTGAGCGCGTTTAGGCATCCGAACCCGAGGCTACAGAGAAACAATGAGGGTTTTACGATAGCGATAAAAGGCGACGTCCTTTTAGAGTCTACGCGTTACCGCTGGTTTCAAAATGGCCACCGGCAGCCGTAATCCGTATGTGGGTCATATGACTGCGAACGAAGATGTGGTAATGAATAAAATGAGAGTGGAGCTCGTACGAGTCGATTAGAAATTGTAGTTACACGCGGGATGATTGCTCGCGGGTCGCGGTAGACCCCACGATCGCGGCCAGGTCGACGGTCCACGATCCAAAGTTCACGGACCGAAAGGTGGTTCGTGTCGCGTAACACTTTCATCTTCCTTTTTCACGGGGAATTAAAAATTCGTTCGCCGTGGGGCACGTGCAATTCCCCAGGAACGTTCCCGTCTGTGTGTTAGGCGGCGTTTTTCATTTTTCCCAGGAAAATACAAATGGAA